GCGGTCTTGCATGAGGTTTACTCACTCGCGCTCGCATCACCCTAGCGGAACGATGAGCGTGCAGGCCCCGAGCTTGTTGCGCGTCAGAGGCTTGGACCATCACCTAGCTTCTGTGCAGGATACTCTACTTTTACCGGTGTCTGTCTCCTACTGCTCTAAAATGGAACTGGACCTCATGATTGCAGTATTCAGAATGCAAACGCTGCTACTGGTATAGCTCATCAGACCAAACTAAGAGTTAAAAGACCCCACTTCTAAACGCAGAAAAGTCAGTAATTGTATTAGGGTGTTATTCGGGGTCGGCGAAGACGTAGACACAGATTTCACTTAACTGAGTAAGTCAATCGACTTATAATGGAAACTAATATGGAGCACATAAGGCAAGTAGGAGAAAGTGCGTCAGTGAAAATTGAAAAAAAAACAAAATATCTCGTTACGAGCAGAACAATCCCTGGGTTGTCTTTCTTTTGAAAATAAAATTAGGAAATCATGCGGTCTACGTTCGCACAGCAGACCTACAGGCTGATGTCCAGAACTTGCAAACTTCTGTTTCGCTCCAGGGCTTCAGCGATCCGTTCGGCTCCAAAATCTTGCATATCCATCTTGGCTAAGTGTATCTCCCTAAGTGTTTTGTTCAGCTGTAAAAGGGGAAAATCTATCATAATCGATGGATCCAGTTAACTATTTTTTTAAATCTCGCATCCCAAGTACCTTTAGATGCTGCCAAGAAAGAATATAAGTGAGGCAGTAATTTAACTTTCTTATACGACTTAAGGAGTACCCTTTGGAAAAGCTAACCAATCTTTTTCAGTAAATTATTGCTACCTCAAGTCTGTCATGGTAATGCTGAACCTTTTAAAATGGGCTTTCTCACCCGTTGGTAAACACTTTCGCTTTAACGCAATCGAAGACAGTAGGATTTATTTATAAAAATAAATTTCGGGAGAGCCTATCAACTGCATCAATAAGATAACATCTGGAGAACACTGCCTCACCGAAGTCTTCCGAGAGTTTGTGCGGCCGTAACTGGAATTAACTATTCAAGCCTGTCTTTCGCCCAGGACCGCAACATCCTCCAAAATTATCAAGATTGTCCAACCAAACTTGTAAATTGGTGAGGTTCACAGTCCCACGAAAGACTATTTCCCAATTTCCATCTCTTTCCTGTGCATTAAAAGCAGTTATTAAGGCCAACCGATACAAAAATTTCGTGTGTAGCACGTATAGGAATGATGCCTTGTACCCGGAGACCTCTTCAAATTAGCAACCACCAAGGACAAGCTAGGTAATTTTCTCAACCAATGTGTGACTAGATTCAGACTAGATATATGTCCCTTCTCTAGCAGGCCAGTCAGTGCTTAGAACGTTTTACCTGCGAAGGTCGTAATTTCCAGATCTGTAGAAGCTTTATGTCGAATCTTGAATAACGCACCAGGACGCTATCCGACCTACATACGTCAGCTGACCGCCCATGCTAACCAGTTATTACTGTTGTAAGTACTACTGCATAACTTTCAGTAAGGTCTGTTTTTGGTATTATCCTTCTGGCGCTTGAAATAATACTTCTTTATTGGTGTCGTGCTTGCACTAAAATGAATAATGTACTAGGCCCTACATATGTGTATCTTTTATAATTTCAAGTCTCTATCAACATAATCACGGTAGCGTAGTAGTCACAGCTTTTTCAGATTTTTCGAAAATTTCCTTAGCTTCTTACGACTACGGAATTTGACATTGCAGGCGGAAATATCCCCCAAATGAACTTAACGTGATCTTACCCGAATCTCATTCCTAACGGTCTGAATTTACTGCTTATTAAAAAACGCTTCAAGCAATAAATTTTAAAGGTGCCATGATGACGCAAACGCAAGCCAGATTTCTGATATTTAGGAAAGGTTAAACGTACACGGTTCTACATCCCTTTTTCTCACAAATTTTCTCATTGCGTTCTCAGTTTCTTATGCAATTTACAAGATAATAGTATGAGGGCTGGAGCACATTGCAGGGGCCAACTGGAAGACCACAGACGAACCTGCCCGGTATGGGCCTCTCAGACATTACATGAGATGGAAACACTCGTCATGTTAGAAAGGATGAAAAGGCTAACAAGACTGGACTAAAAAGTTACTTATTGAAAAGTCGTGTTGGCAAACAGCTGTTTTCGGTCATTCACTTCAGGCC